CAGCTGTTGCTGGTTATACAGCGATAGTGATAGTGGTTAGTCTGGCACAGCTAGATAGCGTTTAGTATTCGAGTGATTAAGTGTGGAGAATAGAGGGAATGGTAAGCATTTAGGTCAACTCCACTCCCACACGGTAGTTCACAACACTGTTTCTGCACGTAATTCAATACATTCAGGCAGCTATTTACGCGAACATTTGTTCGCAGGATTCCATTAATTCCGCCTTTCTTCGTGAAAGTGCATTGTGTACCTCCTTCGTGGAGTGTTACTTTTTTTCCACCCTCGCTTAAATGAGGACCGCCATCCGGCTCATGGATGTGCATTTCACCCTTCACTCTTGTGTTGAAGTGCATGCTCCCTTCCACGCGTGAAGGCACTCACTGTGCCGGCGAAGCGAGTGTGGGCAATTGTCGTCCCTGTTCTAGTGACAGGTCGTGTCGGGTGCACTCTTTTTGCTCGCATTGACTCATTCCTTTTTTTTTAATTATAGCGCTTCCGAAGTACCGATCGAGGCCTGCTGCGGACGTGCCGAACAGTCTGTCCTTGTTACGGGGACGCTCGACGGAGTTCGGTACGAAAAGCTCGAGCAATGGCTTCGTAGTATGACGGCGTTGCTGTTCGAACACATTATAAAGAAACAAGTAAACAGGTCAGTGCTCGATGTAGCTCGTTATCATCGAATTTCTTAGCATCTGACCAATTGCTTATTTTCAGTTCATTTCTTTCCCGTGTAGCCGCAGGCAATTTTTTTTTTGCTCACAAGGGGCACGCCTACAACGGGCCCGCTGGCGGCACGGTGAGGTTTTCCGAGGCGACGTATTTCAAACCCGATAGAAAATCGCTTACATAACAAACGTACGTATAAGTTTCTGCGTTGTTTTTTTATTTTCGAGTCTGACCAGATGGTTTTAATGCGCTCGACCTTCCTGCAAATGTTGTCACCCTTTTTGGGAGCATCGAACGGCGGCGCTGATAACCAGTCGGCGAATAGGGAATCGCCGCCGTACGCTCTTTATGAGAACCGAGGGTCAGTATAATCATGCAACAGTTCTAAAAATCCACGTTATTGATTGTTTTTTTTTTGCGAAATAGCTCATACACCGTGTGCGTCTGCGCGCCCGGCGTATCCGATAAAGACCAAGTCCACGATATAAGCAGTTGTTAATAAAAGTTCCCCAAAAAAGTCAATTAGCTTTAGAATAGTGCAAAAACTATGTTACATTTGTCTAGTAGATACAGCTGATACATACGTTTTACTGTTGATCGTGGCGTTTATGTAATACAAATCACAAGTCTGTAAATAAACGGTCACTAGAAGGCAGTAAGTTTTGTTGATATGTCATGTATTATAAGTTAGAGATTTATATGTTGCTTCATAGGGTCAATACAGTGCAATATAAACAAACAACGACGAAACTCGCCTCGATAAAGTAACTGCGAGGATTTTATACCTTTTTATTTGCAATTCAATAAACTTACTGTATGAGTTTGACCGATATAAAATTAGTTTGATGTTACTATTACGCATTTTAATGTTTACGCATACATGGTCTGGTGCGTCAAATATAAAATGCAAGCTAAAAGTAAATTCAACAATATGCATTTGATGGCAATTGACGCGCCAATGTCTTCTAATACACAAACGTCGTGCCGTCAACATTGAATATTCATTGTTACAATTGTCGAGTCGAAGAGTGTTTGTATACTGATATCGAAACTTGGTTATTTCAATCGAGTTTGACAATCTCTATCTCTGCTAATTATACTGTAATATGACGTGTTGGTGGTCTTTAAAAGTGTTTGCAATTACGATTTTTTGTAATATATGTTGCTGATGTAATCCTAGGCTTCGGGACACTGCTGTTATATCTACTAGCGAAATTAGAATAAGAAATCTAAACGTATCAACAACAGCGCGCATTTTAATCAAAAAGTATTGCAAATCGAGACGGTGAACTTTGTTGAAACACCTGCAAAATATTGACGAGGAATGGCTGGGATTAGTGAGGGAAATATCGATTACGCTTACCAATAAGAGATGTTAACAGTTTCCGGCTCTATCAGTATACCTGGCGACTAAGAGATAATTTAAAAATGTATTATTACATTAATTTTAAGAGGTATTATTCAAAGGTGGCTCAACTTAGGTATTTGATCGGTCAGAAGGTGCTAAGATCGAAAGACGCAAAGATGGCTGCTTTTACATACAGTATTTCCACGGCTATGTTGCAATCACCTTAATGTTGTCCTTTTGCATTATTTTTAGATCGGATGTTTATGCCACTGCGTAATCCACTAAAGTATACTTCGTTATTGACTCCGCGCACTCATTGTACCTTAATACCCTATTTGAATATTAGACAGTAGAGGACGTATTTTATACGACTACATATACTGCACTGCACGAACACATCCGCCTATCATTGCTGAAAAAGTAGCTCGAACATATCAAAGTGGAATTAACAAACTTGTGAATTATCCTAACGATTAGACACAATCGCGCAATTTACTACGCCAGGATGCTCTTATGAATATTCATGGTTCCCCGGACTGTAACAGAAGGTTGTCGACATACTTGTCAGCAGATAACATGCCAGATGTCTTAATTAGTAATCGAACATCAATACTCTGAAAAAAGCTTAAAAATAAACATTAATGCTAACCTTAAATAACAATTTGATTATCGTTGTACTAATTAATAATAATTGAGCAAATCTTGTTAAAATAATTAATCTCACCGCGTATAAAGTGTTTAAAGTAAGAAGACAATCTTTCCAGCTCTGTCTCTTTAAATTTGTATATCTAACCTTTGCGCTCTTTATTTTTTTGAATAAATAACATTATTAAAAAAATTTTTTACATTCCAAATTTTTAGCTACAAATATAGCGAAAGTTCCAAGACCCACATGGTTTGGGTGAGTCAGTTCGCTTGCACTTGCGAGAGGATGAACTACAGTAAACATTTGCGGATGCACAAATTTGTTGTGATTCTCACACGTTTGATACTACGGATCGTCAACTGTGACAAGACTCGTGTGCTAACGATTTTTCACTTGTGGTTTGATGAGATTAGATAGATGAACGGTTGGTGGTGATTTTGTATCCATCATTGTGACAATGCGAGAAAGAAAGGCTGATGTGAACTCTCAATTGTCGAGATTTATATATACATATACAGTATACTCATACAGTTTAATATTTTAGTCTGTAGTGATTACCTTCTATTGACGCAAATGACTGATAAAGAGTATCGAATGTTTTTCGTCGATAACGCTCCCACCCCTTTTGATTATACTTTTGGGTTCTATATATATTAAAATTACGTCTTTTCATTTTTTATAGTTTATACAAAGTAACGTACGATACTGTGTTGATATGACCAGCTGATGTACAAACACACCCACAACCACACGCCTATCTCCACATTGATATCGTTATCCTGGGTGAACCCAGCGAACACGAAGAGGTGCTTGTATGGTATTCTCACCGTCGACAGAACCAACCTCTGACACATTGGCTATATTGTTCGTTAGTCCATCGTCTTCTTCCTCTTCGAAGAAGAATCTCGGGAGACGTAAGAGAGCTGCATCGAACACAGCGCTTGCTCTTTTCCACTCGGATAAGCCGCGATCCTGCGTGGCTCCAGAGCTGTTGCGTTGTTTTCGTCTTGTATAACAAATACAGCCCAGCCAACCGATTAATATTCCGAAAGCGGCCACCGCGATAGCGATTCCAGCAACGACAGCTGGTTTACTGAGAATGTTGGTTTTAGCGGACGACGTCGTGTCTGAATTTGATGCATCATTTGTAGGAGATGGATTTTCTGTTGAAGCAACGCTGGTTATTTGTGAAAGTGCAGTGGTCGTCGCAATTTGATTTGATGGTGTTGTGGTGCTTATTGTAGACGGAGGCTTATGAGTATGACGTTTGATTATTAACGATGATGGACTAGCTGTGGTTATTAAATCACCGCCATTCAATTGACCAGGTATTACAGCTCGTTGTGATGATGGATTAACTGATATTGCGAGAAGAATAAAAAGATAAACTGGGAAGACTCTGCTCCCCACCATTGTTGTGGCGCTTATGCTACTTTGCAGATTGAGCAGTTGCAGTTTGATTGACATACTTTTTATATGGAATCATGTTTCCATCTTGGTGTTACCGTAAGGTGTTAATTATCTTGTTTCACAACATAGCACAAACTGCTACATGCGACGAATTCTGCAAATGAAACCTATGAAACTACAATAACGTATAATAACAAATATATTGGTAAATACGTTCGTTGTAGTGACCAAAGATCGTTGTTTCATCGGAAAGATAGGGTATATATAGACAGCATGTTTGTTGATTACCCAAATCAACAGTATCGTGGGGAATGTGATGGTATATATCCTCTCAGCCAAGGAGTGATGTCTCGACCGGTACGTCTGGGCAGACACCCGTTTTAGGTTAGGAATGGTCAATCTGAATCACATGCAGCACAATACTTAAGCTTCAACCACAGTGCTGAATTATCCACTTTTTCTATTCAATCAATAGCAATTAGAAATATTGGTTGGATTCCCTTTTTCTTACGGAAAAGTACAAGTAGTTGAACGAATTCCTTATTGTAAAGTACGCATGTTTACTGATTAGTAAGGATTGATAATTAATTGCGACATTTAAATGAAACGATGGAAAAAATTTAATTTATCCTATCAACTATACATACGAAAAAAAGGGGATGAGGGTCGGCAGTAGCTTTACTATTATCAGAACAATCTTGAAGACTTCCGACTATGGCGACACCAAGCGTTGGATGTCGACACTGTGCCCTAAACTATAATGGTTAGTGTACGCCGTATTGGCCAAAGTAATTAGTTTTATCGTGATGACGCACAAACTTACATGTGAATTGATAGCAATGATAATTTTGTGATGGCGAAAATAAGGATGATGCAGACAAGAAACTAGCTATTCCATTTCTATAGCATTCACTGCTGACACATTTAGATAGTGAATTCTATAAATATACTTACCGGTTGCAACATGTAAATAAACGACAATCTCGCATACCGTTTGGAAATCTTGTAGAACCGTTGCCTCGGAAACAGGCGAATGAGGCAATGTGTTGGCGAATATCATTATCCAATACAGTCGGGCAATCGCTTATCCGATTGCGAATGCCCACAAACGCATCCCATCCAATACAATCACTCGACCCGCTTACATCTTAGCAAGTTTCTTTCTGCATGTTGTGCTAACAGAAAAGTCCTCATCAAAAGGGGCGAACACACATATCAAAGTATCTGTTACCATTATACAGTTTTCTTGTGCATAATCGTACTCCGCAACCCCTTACATACGTCTTTCTACGGCGTAAATATGTCTAAAAAAGGCATATCATCTTTAAAAATGTCAAGTACATTAAAATGCATATTTGCGAAATGCACGTTTGGTCGTACATTAAAATACTATTGCGCTTTCTGTGAGAAAAAAAAAGAATAGAATCCTTTTTTTAGTTCGCTATCGTTGTGTGTAGCGTCAAAAAGTTAAAAAAAGAGTGAGAGATGAATGATAACGCAAAACACTGCGGTAAATAAACAAATTTTAGCAAATACCGTATGACGGATGACAATAAATGACAACTGATAAGCAAAACATACATGTCAATGTTGTGCGACGTTCTATTTACCCGTCCCCCCGATGCTTATTATTATCGTTCCTAATTTGCTTGGATGAGGCTAATTTTTGTGACCTAAAAGATGGCTTAGATGGAACTGTTGTAACATCTTAGGGCTTGGTATTTTGTAAACAAAGTGACAGTTCGCTACTTCCATGGAATTAGAATTTGCCTATTCCAAGTTCTCATATTGCTGACTAATTGGAGATAATGAGCGCTTGTTCTTGTTATTAAATTTAGTAATTCTATTACGCTGTCTATCATAAATGTTAAGGTATTTCCTATAAAGGAAATCCACTGTAAATGAAACACTCAATCGAGTGGCTCTCCAATCTATCACCTAATTTAGTTCGAAACATAATGCCATCACGATAGTACTGCAATGCGTCGAGAATAAAAGATAACGGTTTACTAGTACACAAGCAAATACTTTCATGATTGATATGGACGTTTGTGTAGCATCTCTGGTACACGCACTTTCAAGTATGCAACAAAACGTGTTGATGCTGCGGAGATCTGTTACGATTGCTCCATTAAACTTTGAGAACTGACCAATAATCTAATGTGGTTTTAGGCGTCAACTTTTTGACTTACACGTTTCCCAAAAAATGTTTACGTACGTTATCCAGTCCAGACGACAGGATAAACTAGCGCTTATGAAATCTTATGTCGCTATATACGCGACTTGAAATTTAGCCCTTCACTGCTCAAGTAATTTCTTGACAGATTTGTGCTCGGCTAACTGAGCTCGCAGAGATAGCAAGCTTCTGAGATACAGTATGCACCAAGTTTATATTTAAGGAAAGTTCTACTACATTAAGATAAAATAATCTTAATTTTTGTTATTACCAGCAGCACTGGATGCTGATGGACTCCTTCCGCCTAGTCCAAAATTGCCAGGGATAGGTTTGCGCGCTTATGAGAGAGCAATAGCACATACTAAGCAATATTTAGTTAGACCAGTAGTTTCATACTAATACCTATTTGGTGTCAAAGTTGAAAATTCAAAACAATAAATAAATGTATGTTCTCTAGTAGCATGGTGGACATAAAAGATTTATCTTTCAAAATAAATCGAAATAATTAATTAGTCTGTCGGAATGTAATTAGAAAAGCTTCTCTAACAAAGAAAACCATAGTCTCCACAAGTGAAGTGCACTATTAGACACACTGAAAGTAAATAGACAAATCCGGCCAACAAATATCATAAAAATGAAAAGACAAACAAACAATTAGATCTTAGAATTAACTCCAACTATCTGGTGCAATTATAATTTTCTTTAATTTATACAGTCAGCGTTTCGGTAAAGTATTTATGATGGAATACGGATCAGGAGCACAATAGAAGTGCAGAAAAGGTTCGACTGCATTGTGATAACCGAATGAAAAATTCCTTGCCAGACCCGTTGTCAGCGGCTTCCTCCCGCAAAAATAGGGCCCTGTAGTGTCGGCTTGAGTCAACTTTTTAAGTATCTATTTTTTTGATTATTTTTTAGTATTGCGCATAGCTACTACTAATAAATTTCTTTCTGAATAAATAATTTCACGAATAATTTTACGTTAACTATAACTTTCACGATCAGTGTTTCGTACTACAATTTACAGTCCTAAACATATCTTATGCAATAGATATGCACTCTCCATAGGCCTTTCTATACTGTTCGTAATAATTATAAATGCATGACTTCGAATAAAGATTACAATATTTTTAATCTAATCGCTACTCGTGATGACCCATTAGTTTCGTTAATGTATATTTGGAAAACTAATAACATTGCCGTTTATCGTACGAACGAAGACGAATAATTTATCAACCGAAGGATATATGGGCCTGGAACGCAAACGGACGAAGAAATGCCTTTTACATATAAAGCATCTAATACCAGTTTATATTATATCGTAAATATTATTTCGTAATGAAGATGTAGTTCAGCCTCAACACAATATGTCTCTTTTCATTGTAATGCGTCTATTGGATCCATCAAGAGTATCCGCATTTTGCTTCGCGTCTCTATCACACTTTATGACTCCAATACTCTACCACACTTTGGTATAGGTTGACAAAGTAATAGTTTAGCTTAAACAGCGTAACGATAAATTTACATATGTTGTGATGTATTGAGCGAGTATGTTATCGTAATAGTAGAAAGGGAGATGCACTTCAAACTCTCTATGACAATATTAATATTTATACAGTGTCGACAAAGAAATTAATTATTGCAACTCTTTAAATTTACTCGTTTGCGTTATAATTTATCAGCCAAAATGTAAATAACATTTGTCTATTACGCATACTAATAAAAATTGAGTAAGCAGTCAAAATGTCAACAAACACGTATGAACGACAGTTATGATTTTATCACATTATTGGAAAAAAGCATCAATTCTGTATTCTGGCTAACAAGGACCACAAAGTAACCAGTTACAACTACGCGAAAGTGGCACATTAAAACATAGAGAATTTAGAGAAATTTTGACAGAAAAAATAAAAATTTGTTCTAGAGTCTGTCTAATAATGTAGTTGAATTAGACTTGACGTCATTTTGAAAAATAGCGGTGAGTGAATATAATTATTAGATATTTGTATACAAAGTAGTTGGATTGCCATCGTAGTTATACTTCCTATAGACATACTACTTTATTATGACAAGAAAGAATGGAAAGAAAGACTATTAAACTTATAAAAGCACCTCTTGTCTTTGGAAGGTGGGTGAGTATAGGCAAGGATTCACAGCTAGCGTGAAGAATAAGCATCAGGAAAGAACAAAACAAAATACAGTTGCACCTTGATTTATTCACGGCGTCGTGACCTTGTATAGTCGCTTAATAGACGTGTGACAATATTGCCAATGTGACTATATCAATATCGAGATGTTGCTGTAAAAAATTTTAAAGTTAATTAAACTATGTCGTTAACAATAGGAGATGTTAATAACCCAGCAATTAACAACTTGCTTCGATCATCCTAGAAAGTGAACATGAACTCGAATGGATTTCTTTCGAGGAAATCACCAATATAGAACCAACTCAAATTGACAACGTCTACTATGCTAGTTATTACGACAATTGTGAGTGAGTTTGCTAGAATATACTCACTTCCAACAGACGAATATTGCAATGACGATAAACAGTTCAGACGGTACAAAAAATAGCTTCGTAAACGCAACAAACTCATAATTGGATTTAGCGAGTATGATGACAAGTATTACATGGTTGTCGATATAGACTTTTACCATTGTTACTTTCGATATGGATTCTGCACTGTGCTCTGATGTAGTCCTGCATAAACAATTGTCCGATGGATGAATAAGCAACTCGATGAGTTTATTAAGAGATCGCAAACTCACCAAATTATGCCTATCTGGAATGGATGAACTGGGTTTAATCTTGTATGGTCTACCTACTCGTGCATACACTAAATTGATTCCACTTGAGATAACAGATGAGACACATGATTTATATTATGCTGAGGTAAACTAGTTACTTATGCGTCATGTTTATTGGATAGTTTAAATAATTATTGACATATTATTATTTCTACTAGTTATGTGATAAGTATCCTTGGATACCATGGGACTAGTGCATTGCATTGTGATCTTCATGGCGGAAACATAGTTGATACGCGTGATATCCATTTTTATATGCAATTTTGGTCTCTCACGGTCAATGAATTCACGCGCTTCAACCGTTCGAGGCGTCTTACCCTTTATTGCACCAGAAGTCTTTCAGACTTGCAAATTTACTCGGCAATCAGACATATATTTTTTTGGGATCATTATGTATTCAATTGCTACTGGTGAACCACCTTTTAGAGATAGGCAGTTCGATAGAGGCTTAGTATGTGATATTATGGGCGGACTACGACCATCGATGCCTGATTCTGCACCAGAGGAATACAAGAAACTTGCCGAGCTGTGTTGTGATGCTGACCCTGATGAGCGTCCTGATGCATTTTCATTTCGGTATGATATTGTCGAGCTTATCAAAATGGTGGATAATTAAATACTAATTCTGACGTGTGGAATGCCGTTTACCATAATGATGTAAAACCTTTGTCGTCTCGAGAAGGAGAGTAAATAGTCTAGTAAACTGGAGATCTGCCTAAACCAAGAAACAGATAGAATTTGGATTCTGCCGCAGGTATGAATACAATAATCGGTTATTAATGAAGTCAATTTACAATATTAACATCGTCCATCGCTTATTTAGTGACTCAAACACTCTAAATTAAAATAAATTTATTCAAGGATATACTCCTACTCCTCTTTGAATTAAATAAATTAAATACGATATTAATATTAATATTTGCCGGGGTGGATCCTGCGCGTAGCACAAGTTTGTCGCATTAGAAGATCCACTTGTTATTATATAAGGAAATCTGTATTAGTATCAGGTAGTAAAATTTACCTGATCTTGTAATAATAGATAATCTTAATCAATGGAATAAGTATTAGCATTACTCGCACAAAGATTTAAATTATTATGCGCCGAGTTGATGTGCGCGATATTCTTACAAGATAAACGTTTCTGCAGTCATAACCGGAAAGTTTGGCAATATTAATATTACTTTGACTCGCCTGCTAATAATTGTAATCATGAGAATTCTTTGAACTCTTCACCCCCTGAAAAAAAAGAAATTTGGTGCGCTTTATTACCATTCCCTACTATTATCTATTCATACTGTCCGATCACCAAGTTTTACCTTACTGCTATGAACCCGGCAGATCCAACGGCAGATCCAACGTCAGATCTAACGGCAGAGACAAGGTTGGTAAAACGAAACCGTTTTATACTTTCAATTATTTCAGCACTTTTGTGGTTATGTGTTCTCTCCCTCCTCCAACTCACTATTACTATGTCTAACGATCTGTAGCGCTGCCATTGCCGACATATGTTCAATCGTCTCTTTCGGTCAAACTTTGTACAACCCCGTAAACAATGTTACCTTACATTGTGTTCAGCTGACTGACTCTCAGGTTCCTCAGTTAAAGCGAGAGCGTCTCGAGGAAGTCGAATCAGTGTTACCCTTTTTGATATACGATTTACCTGTAACCACTGAATCCAATATTCAACCGAGTTTGGCTTTGAAAGTAAAATTGTGATATAGTTTAACTATTAGTTTACGACACGTCTTTAGGCATCTGTAGTAATATATTTGAAATATTTTTGTTTTAGGATGTTATTCGTTGTCTACCGTTCCTACATAATGGAATAAGATTATTGAGATCAATTCTTATAGAGGCTCCAGTGACATTTCATCAGGTCACGTCTGTTGGATGACAATTGATGCGCTAAGTGAAGAGGCAATGATGCCAATGAGAATTTTCCCAAGTTCTTTGTCTGATAGGGTGTATTGTGTCATTTAGATTGTAGATATGCTGGTTGAAATCCATGATTTCTTACCTCCGAATTGTCAGAAGAAAATCGGGTAACTTTTATCGTTACGAAAAACCTGTAGTGTTTTTTTGACAGTTTTATCCATCTCATAAATTATGGATATTTGATAATTTTATAGAGAGTTGCTATATTCAATGTGCAATGTGGATTCAAATACATTGGACAATGCAGCTGTTATAAGATCAAAAATAACGAATCGTCATATTCTGCCTGCTCTGGCCTTACGATTGACTTTGAACTACTGTAATGATGAGGTCAGATGGACACCTGTGAATTTAATCAAGGAACCCACTTCTTCTATTTGCAAATCGTAATCTTAAGAAAAACTCTTTTTTAGATTACATTTATATACGGATTTCTAACAATAAATCCGGTCTGGATAAAGAGACAATGGGGCTCATTGCAATCCTTGGCCGACTCGATACAAAGGAAAATTTTTGAAAAGATGCAGCTCGAGTTGGAGAATTCCGAGCCATGCCAAGTACAACTATGTATCCTGTTGCACATGGTATGCTTACTTGCCAATATGTCAGCTATACTATTTGAACAGAGAGAGTTGGAACTTTGTACGGAAGTTATGAAGCATGCACAATCAGAACGGTAAAACTTTTCTTATAATAGATTCCTCAATTGATATTACATTCGCGTGTTTTTGAACAGTTGTTTGTTTTCTTTGCAGGCTCGTCAAATTGAGTCTATGCTTTGTATTGATGAGTGTGAATCAACCGAATCTGTGGTCTGGGGTAATTTTAATTTTTTATTTTTTCATTTTTTTGTACTCTTTCAACGAGATGCATAAACTCATCAGTTTATTGAACAGGACGGCATAAGACTGACTCTCAGAAAACTGACGAAATCTGAGCATTCACAGTTGTTCATGTTGATTGCCCTGTATATTAATACCAGACAGTACAGAGAAATAGAAGAGATAGTATCTGCCACACTAGGAACCGAAGTATTATTACGTATGATAAACGATTTCAACCATATTTTTAATCGGTTTCTTAGCGTTATTCTGACCGCCGATTCCTATTAATAGATTTTACTACAAATCCATGGAAACAGCTGGAAGCTATTTTTGTGTCGGATTTATTTCCGGATGAAGTTTTAGCTCAGGGAGCCTTACTTCTGGATCCATCCACATTTTCAGGACTAGGGGTACGTGCATTAAAAGATTCTGTACTTACAACTTTAGGACAGAAAATATTATCGTATGCATGTTTTATTCACTTGCTAAAGTCAATTTTTATGACCGTCAGGTTTCAAATGACCCCGAACACTTATCCTTGAAAGTTTTCTTTCAACTACTGAAAGCCGGAACATTTCATAAAACCAATATTGATATTCAGGATTGGATTTACAGGCAGATCATTCAAGCGACTACACCGGTCCACCCTGAGATGGGACCAATGTTGCGAGAATATGCTTCAAGGTGAGATTTCATAACTATTGCCCGCATACATCTTGGCATACTCATTCTCAATTATTTATTGTAACTGCAGTATATTTAAATGGAGCACAAAGGGAAATAGCCCGATAACTCCTATACCCGAATCAAAAATCAAAGCATTGTTTGAAACAACTCTCGTAGACATATCAGCTTCTCATGTCTTGATGTTGTTATATGTATTGTACTACAATGAGCAAGCCCGCATGCAAGTTAAACACAACGTTGAAAATTGGAGAGGTAGCGCACGCATGTTACTATAGAGTTTTTTTGTGAGCCACATAACTGATATTTTTTTTATATTTAGAGGCGTCAACGACGGCTTATTCAGTGAATCTTTTGGAATCGATACCAATTCGAAGAATCCTTACATTTAGCGAGACCGCCGACAAAGGGAAAGCCTTTTATGACATCTATCCTGAGCTTTTAGGTCTCGTAGCTGCCAATTATCCCGAAATGTTTGACGTTGTCAGCTTACTGATCGAAGAAGAGCGAAATCCACAGTATTTATGATTTATTTTTCTTGTTCCGATCCCCCCCCTAAACTGTAATATTTAGTCATGCTTGTTTTTACTTATTCTAGGTCTGACGTTGATTTGCCCCGAACGATTGAAAAGATTCCTCCCTCTGACGTTATTGCGACAGAGTTCGAATCAATCATGAAAATGTGGCTTAGAGCTCCGGATAATTCATATTCAGGTAAGCGGCAATGAAAATTAAAGTACTCGATTTGCGTATGTCCTTTTTTAATTATCATTTTTCAACCATTCGTTATAGCATTAAAAAGTATGGCAACGTGGCCCCCAACGTGTTTAGCCATCAATGCAAAGACAATAATATCCGCTTCGCTTCCGAGGCTTCTTGATTCAAGGTATTCATCGTCGGATGATTTGTCAGACTGTCCTGATTTGGACTCACGAATTTAATTACAATATGCTTAGGACGCAAGAGAGATTCCTCGACGCATTCAGACAGATATGGGAATCAATGAATAGTGTTATTCCTCACGAGTTGGCCGTACTGACTGTCAATGCATTAATGCCGGACGGTCAAGAAGAACAACCGAACAAGTAAACAACATTGCTATAAATACGTGTTTACTCCGTTAATAATGCCTACTTTACTAATGGAAAACGCTATTACGTTTTTGTAGGAAAGTTGAGCCATACAGTCAACAACAGCTAATGATGGATCCACCACTACTATTGAGATGTGATTCACGAGTTTTCCGATGTCCTACGATATTCAGGATATTCATTCGGGTTCATATTTATAGATTGCCTTTCGATTGATTCCTGCGGTGTGGACATAATGTTTTAACCAACTGCTTTTTTGTTTGTAGCTTGTTGGGTTTTATCTGGTAGGATCTCGACACAGGTTCAGACGACTGTATGAATGCGAAAGAGCACACATTGACCAATCCGTAAGTCGACGATGGAAATGTTAACTCTCATGATATTTCCGAATAACCCAGTTTGAAAATTATTCCAGCGGTTCTCGGATAAAAACTTTAATACTATGCTTGAAGTACAAGACAGTTTAACGCTGCAGCTGTTACTTGAGATTTGTGAAGAGAAACCTGCTGATCAACATAAAAAAGGTATATGTTATTTTTGAAATCAATCGTACGATTAGCAAATAAGTATTGAGCGATACCGTTTTGCTTTTCCTATTCAGGGGTTCTGGCTGAAATACAATCAATAACATGCGATTTTTTGCATCAACTGTTTATTGAAAACCCAAACTTGCAAAAATTACTGCATCAACAAAGCTATTCAACATCTCTGATACCAGTAGTTGTTAAGAACATAGAATCCATGCGTAAGCAATATAACGTTGAGAAACATTTTGTTGCAAGAGTTATTGTTATCAATTCATTCACTAATTTCTTGAAAATGTTTATCAATAGATGTATGTATAGGGTATCTCCCGGAGTTAATACATCAACATGATTATGAAAAACGTGCATTTGGTCTAATACTGGCTTCATACTTGTGCGAGGAATGGCCTATGCAGAAAACGTATGTTTGTTGCCGAGTAGACGAAATTTGCGTGTTAAATGAATAGCATTTCTTAGCATCTCGTCTAAACTTTGCAGGTTGCAGATAGCACGTGAGCATGTCTTGCCATCAGTTCTGGAAATAGTGACATCTCCAAAGCTACCTCCCATCAATTCGACGTTGTTTGATATTATACAAGCAGCTATTCGAGCAGCTGAAAAATTCCCGGAGGAACTGGGAGAATTGAAATTGAGGATGAAGGAAGAGATGGATGAGTTAAAACAGAGAATACGAGATTTGACTACAGAGGTAAGGTTCACATATTTGAGCATACGTGTTTCAGCCAAGGTTTTTTTAACGCATAACTTTTTTGAATTCAGATGAGAATAGGGAGGGAACTAAGTAATTACTCGGCCGGAAAGAACTTAATTATAAGCTAATATCTTACAACCCACGAATTGGACCGTATCCATCAATATCTATGGAAAAAAATTACTTTCTTTACTCCATTAATAATTATACCTGAAGAGATATAAATCGTTATTGCGTGTAGCAAATTATGCAATTCAAAATACAAGATTGGGTTTTTTCTGACTCAAATAAGGGTGTAGAAAGACTTCAAGAGAATTCATTATTCTCACGATTTGAGATATGACATTATGAAAAACCAAATTCGTAAAGGTTTTTTCCCCTCAAGCGTCACGATGTTATGCTCACTCGCAACTGCAACCCCTGGTGAATGAGTTTCTAATTAACCTGTTCCCTTGGTCACTATGGTGAATATCTACGCGTAAATTCACCTTGCTATACACGATTCCATTTTTGGTGATCAGTGGAACGGAGTACTTTGGTTCTTAATTAAGACTTATCAATTGAAACATCAATCATTGGTCAATTATGATGCCATTTATCAAGCCAGCGATTAGTTCTACCACAAATAAAAGAAGTACTGTCTGAAACATCTCTGCAAAAGTTACTCCAGGTTTCCCTTCCCTATTACTATCACTATATCATAATGATGTCTACCGTCTTAAAAACCATTATCTCCAACAAATCTCAGAAGGACGGTCTTCCTTGCGCGAAGAAAAAGCTTTTGGAATACGAGAAGACTCGAACTCCATTCTAATAAGATTTCCGGCCTTCAAAATTATCTTTTCCGAAATCGCCAAACAAAAACGGAGATCCAAAAGCTGCACAAAGGAATTCCACTCAAAGCGTACAGTGGAAAGATAAACGATGCGGGGCGTTTTGCAACGCCCCGACAACTGTACGCGCGGGGGCGCACAGCGGAAAGATAAACGATTTCCGCGTTTAGTGCGGCCCCGCAATTTTACGCGCGGGAATTTGCTTAACGGCGGCGCCTAAACCACAATTTCCAGAAGGCCGACCGCACACTCGACCGCACACGCCCCGAATCAAAAAGGAGTACAGCGGAAAGATAAACGATTCGGGGCGTTTTGTGCGGCCATGCAACGCACCACCGCAAGTTTTCCACGCACGGAGACCGACGATAAAGACGAATATTAACTTGGGACATAAAAAGACAATAATTGTTTAGAAGAAATTAAATCATTGTAGTTTCATTTTGTTCATTCTGTTACTTTAACTTAATTATACAAATGCTCATGTACACATATCAACTTTACAATAAATTATCTGCAAATTCATTTAAAAAATGCTTGACTATTTGTTCATGCTACTACATTTTAATTCCCTGAACGTTGAAAATACTCTATCGAAAACTATTGCGAAACGATGAGATTCGGCTCCAAACAATCAAAAGACAAGTTAAATTCACTACAAAGTGATGTGGCGTCCGATAAAATTTGAGCACCCACCCCCGAAATTTTAAAAGCAATTAATACTATCTTACTAGCCGCTAGCTCTCCCTTTTACACGAGTAATATGTGTTTATCGAAATTTAAATTAACCAACAGACTCTCTCGGCTTCGAACTGCAATTATAGCCGATAATATCGCTGGTGTGCCTAGCAGTGAGATTAAGCACTTTATTTCTACTAATTTCACTCGCATGTTTGTTAATACTTTATAACAAATCAGCAAAGACAGTAAAAGTTATGGACATTCCCGCTAATTCTACTGTCATCGAAGCATATCCTGGTTGGTTTTTTCACAATCTTGTCTCTCCTGGCCTTCTCTCTCTCTTTTTGTTTTGCTATCGATATTCAATCGATGCTTTTTTCTCCTTTCAATTTGCTCATATGAGAACTTGTCATTTTAAATTGGAACTGATTTGTAATCAGGATATGGTTTTTTATCGAAGGCACTCTTGAAAAATACGAAAGCTAATAAGGTCGTTGCTATCGAAGGCGAACGAGAGTTTATTAATGGATTCTTAAAGGTGGGGATAGGGCCGGTGAGAAAGTCAGCAACATACTTTCGATCAAATAAAATTAATCGTTTTGTTCTAATGCATAGCAAGTGGAGAACGAGAACAAAGACAAATACAAACTGCTGGAAGCAAGTCCTCGTAGTTTATATACAGCTGAATATTTCTTACCCAAAAACTTTACCGAAGTAGAGATTCTTCCATGGAAACAAGGTACCAGTTTAACATGTTTCTAAAGAGATAAATGGATTCGGTCATTGGTTTCATTAAATCTAGTCGTGACCTTTACTTCCTTTATTTTCTTCTCCCTCCCGCTTTGTATCGCGACGGGAAAAAAGCTGCTCGAGTTTCGGCAATGTTTGCCTGTGGCTTGATTGCTAATGTATTATTTTGACAGTCCTCGATCAGGTTTAAACTAAAGAGCTCTGTAAGGGCCGAGAAGGAACAATCCGTTTGGATAGTTTATCATCCTGACAAAGACCGTACTAATCGAACCTGACAGAGAAGAGAACAAACAAACAAACAAACAAACAAACAAACGAAAATGACACGTCACATACCATTAGATCAAAGGTCTCAAGACATTACGTGATAATCTTGTTCCATGTTCTTTTTCAGGGTCGACCAAGAGCAATGGTTTAAACCTGATTGAGAACACTTGTGAAAATAGATTGAAAGCCTTTAAAATGCTATCCCGTTATTCTTCACCCCTTTGACGACCGAATTTGAAACGTGTCTGCTTTTTTCAACGATTAATTTGCTTATACTTTTCCTTTTTGTTTTTTTTTTTTAGAACATCCGTCTTTAGTATTCATAGGCCAGCTTCCAAAGGAGAAATCATTCCACAATGCACAATGGCTTAGCTGGATGAGTTGTATCGTTCGTAGAAATTTCGTATACGAATTTGGTCGAGTACGGACATATCTGTTTTGTCGCAGTGACTTTGCTCAAGTAAGATTGAAATACGAGCCAGAATCGCTATGATAGAGAGACGTATTCTCCTAAACAGTCCGCTATTTATGAGATAATCGTAGAGACTGATGGCCCCAAAGGGTAACATAAAACGTAACAAATATGCTGCCCTAGCCGAATCTTTGGGAAGTGTAACAGAAATAATGAAGATTCCAGCAGGAGGATATTTACCAAAGGCAAGTCGATTGTAGTATTAATGGGCAATGTCGGTGAGGGTTCCCTATTGACTTGGCAAATCGTGAACTTGGCGCGCGCGCGCATTTGTTGAATGTGTAGGTTGAGCATACGTTACTTGGTATTACGCCCTATGCTGATATTAAATTAA